GACTAACGCGTCCTCAATATCGTAGCCCGAGTACGACATGACAATAACTGTTGCGTTCTGACCAGCGGGGAGTTTATCGTAGTTGACAAGCTGAATTGTCTTTGAGATGACCATTGGTCTTTGCGGATAGACAAGGGTGTAAAGCAGGGTGTCGATACGGTTAAATTGGTTGTATGCGATAGCGCCAATAGCTTGCTTACCCATGGCGCATTGGTAGGTGTTTCGAGGAGATTGGTTGTGGTGAGGGAAGGGAATGAGACCAGCGACTGCGCCAAGAACAGTGAAAGGCTCGATTTCCATGTGTGTAGTAAGAGGGGTAACGTCCTTCTCGTAGAGAGCAACGAGAGTGTCGTTCTCTTCGTTGACGTCAAGATACTCGACAATACCATGAGTTAAAAAATCGTCGAACGTAGCCTTGCCCAGTTGCAAAAGTCTCAGGTGTTCCTCCTTGAGCTTGGGCTTTCCGTTCTTGACAATGATGTAAGGTCGGCAAATACGTCCTTCATCGGTGGCAATGTGGACTGCGTTGAAGTGATTGTTGATATGAATGCTGACGAAGGGAGAAATCCAGCCGCGCCTTCTCATCGTTCTGAACTTACCCGCAAATCGCTTCGGGTATCTGGTCAATGCGAATGGGGTTCCGTTTATGTGAATGACGTACGAAGTCTCGCGGTGCATTTCTCCGCCTGAGAAGTTCCGAATAGGTTCCACACCGGCATCCAGGGTGAAGACCCATCGCTTGACTGGCGCTTCCTCTACGTTGGTTGTGATGTGCGTCATGAGAGCCAAGTTCTTGACCAAACCACAGGCTTCACCTTCGGGTGTATCTGAGGTGCAAAGCATACCCCATTGCGAGGGTTGAAGAGCACGAGGACCGGAGACTTTACGGGTCTTTTCAAACTGCGAGCTAATTCGAGTCATCATACCGAGAGCGCTGATGTAGCTTAGACGACTGAGGACGTGGGTAACACCGGCTCGGTTCATGTTGAAACGCTTGACGGTCCAGTTTCCTGTCTGGATAGCTCGATTGATACCCTGACCAATCATGTTGGCGTGGTTGCTGATCATGTTAACGGCATCAAGAGGAACAGCTCTGTTGTCCTTCTTAAGAACCTTGTCGATGCTGCTCTTGACGTTGCCACAAAATTGCTTGAATAAATCTTCAAAAAGCAGGGAGAGAAGTTGTCCTGCTAACTCGAGTCGCTTGTTTCCGACGAAATCACGGTCGTCAACGAGACTTGGGTCGGCTTGCGCCATCAAGACACGTCGCGTCATAAAAGCCACATAGACAGCCTTGGGATAGAAGTCCAGGCCCTCAATGGGGACGTGGGCGATGATGAGGTTCGCCAAGGCGTCGAGAGCTTCTTCGACGTGGTTTCTTCGGACTTGCGCGGCGAAGGGGACCCTACTTTTGCCCATCTTTACTCTGGCGCCGATATACTCCAAGGCTTGCTGTTGCGTATAGACGCCAACCTTGGTTGCTTCCTCAAATTGAATGAGGAACTCGTCTTGATATTTTCCGTTGTCGCCGGCAACGAGTTGCATGATTTCGTAGTCTGACAGGCCCCCGAGCGCCTTCAGGATGATGACAATGGGGATGCCTTCCACCAAAATGTTGGCAGTGAGAAGAATCCGGTCCTTCTTGAGCGTCACATACGTCTTGGACTTGCGTTCGTGAGTCGAACTGGTGACTGATGCTGTGATGACGCTGTTTTTCTCGTCGGCTTCGACAATGACACGGTTCTTGCTCAGCTGTTCCTGAATAAGAATGACCTTCTCCGTGCCATTGATGATGAAGTAGCCACCGGGATCAAGAGGACACTCATTCATGCGCGACATCTCTGCGTTGTTGGCCCCACCAAGTCTGCAGATGGAACTCTTCAACATGACGGGAAGGCGTCCGAGGGGGACATTCTTCCGAACAATCTTGGACTTGTCGCGAATGTAGGCGATGTCGACCATGATGGGTGCAGCGTAGGTCATGTCGCGCAAACGACACTCCATTGGTGTAACCTCATTCTGAGCTCTGATATCGTTGAAGTCGACGCGACTGGGCCGCTCAACTCTGATATCAGTGAACCTGGCAGGGCGTTAGACAAGCTCATGCAAAATGGTGCAGGGAACGGTGGCTTACTCGAGCCAGAATGAACTATTCACATCGCTTCGAACAATGCGGTTGGCGCGGACAATTTCCTTGATCTCATTTTCGACAAAGAAATTGTACGAGTCAATGTGCTGCTTGACGAGACCCTTCACCTTGAGAAAGGCGGGTAAGAGCTGAAATTTATCCTCCTTGGTCGAGATAGGATCCGTCAGCTTCTTTCCGTTGTAAAAGGGCTCCAAAAGAGCTTCGAAGCCGTCGTCCTGCATGATGGTCACCGTGTTCCGCCTGTGACCATTATGTGTCGTTTGGTATTTGCGGCAACGCGGAGGGAGGGTCTACCGCAGATTTTTGAGATGCAGGCGGTCGAGTCACATCGCGAGTTTGAGGCAAGTGGTGGGCAACAGAAAAGTTTGGCCCCGCGGTGCCGGGTGCTGGCAGCAGCCCCACCTTTGCGCGACCAAGTGTCACTGGTAGTGGTAAGGTATGTAATTCAGAATCTTAGTAAGCATGGTGAACTTGGGACGGCGACGACCTGACCGGGCTGCGCGGGGCACACCTTGGTTGACCTCGGTGAGCCACGCCGAGATGTGTCAGCCCGCCTCACAGCAAAAATGCTCTGCCATGCGTTGTCCACCTTGCCCTGCCTTACCATATTGCTTACTGACTTACCTTGGAGTGCCTTAAGGTTAAGAGACAGACCACGCAGTTCATCCCAACCTGCTGATGGACCTAGTTCCTGGACTAAGGTGATTGATGGTGCATCTTGGGTTCAGGCACCCACATGGCATGGTGAAAGGTGATTAGTTTGCAAAGCTTACGGACACACATCCTCATAAGGTGGAATGCCAAGTGGCACGATGACTTTGAAGCAACTCATTGAACCAACGGCTAATCAGGCCGTGGTCATTCCATCTGTGGGTTCGATCTCTGCTCGGCTCTGCGTTGACGGGTGACCAAACCCAGGGCTTTGGGCCCGCCTCGTACGTTGTGCAGCACCGTCAATGTCAGGGACCATTTACACGCATACTGCGTATCCGTACCTCACTCAACGACCCGTACGGATACTTAGGTTTTCAATGCTTGTGCCATGGTCAAAGAAAGTGGATAACAGAATGTGAGCAACTCAGTCAGCGCTTCAGTTTTGGCATCCCAATGAAGCAGCACCGCGCTTGGCTGGAGACACCCAGCCGCGACTGCCTCCAAAGTCCAAAGCCAAGTTGACCAGGGACTCCGGACACTTTCCTCAAGTGGTTGACGAGTGGGGGTTGTCGCCGTTCCAGGTCACCACTTTAGGCTGTGGGAACTTGGGAAGCCACGCCTGAGCAAGGGAGGAGAGAAAGCAGACAGGGCCTGCGGGTGCCTTGTCGTCTGCTGCAGCCCCGCCCTCGGCCATCTTTTCTCTCTACTTCATACTTTACCCCTCTTCGTAACAGACAAAAGCCTCTATTTCAACAGCCTGGGTCTACGGGAGTATGGGCCCTCCGGACACGACCGACTACGTAGCCCTTACACATCCAATCTCAGAATTATGCTGGAACTGCATTATTTCGATATCTTGCTATGCAACAGCCGTGGTATTCTGATGTTATCCAAAATGAGAAGCAGTTCACGACACCAGGGTTGCTTCTAGGGCCTCGGACAGCAAATCATTTCGCTGCTCCTATCCATAATCATTGTACGGTCTTGTTCTGTCGTCACACCTGCATGGGATCAGAATGCTCCCCGCAGGGTATCCCTTTGCACGACCCGCAGCTGGTGATGCGGCGGCGACGGCGGCGTCTGCATGTTGCGTTGGCAGAGGATATACTGCACTTCGTACCTACTGTGGCAAGCCAAGTCGCATCCCATCAACTGCAACTGCCCCTCTTCGACTCCAGATATCGGACCCAGATCGGTTAGGTGGTGAAGCTGCCCCGCGATACAATGAAACGGATACCTACACCTAGCACACGTCCCTCCAGCTTTAGAGCTACAATGAACGCTACTTCCAAGGGCACAATAGTCGATCGAGAGAGAATCAAAAAGCTATCAGTGCTTCCTTTGCCGCTTCTTACAGTCTCCTGAAACCGTTCTCTGCGGCGTAGTCTAGGCTCTGCCACCGTTACTGTTGACCTGGAAACACACAAAGACATTGAATCTGGGCGAAGTTTGTCACCTATGATGCAACAGGTCAACCCCGCGAGTCACGACCTGCGGCCCCGAAGATTGCGGCCGATCGAGGGTCCAACCACTCTGTTATCGGACAACCCCTCCTCCTACTGGGGTTTCGCAACACACAGAAGCCAGAGCCAAGGGCTTTGCCGCCTTTGCCTGATGGGACCTTTCCTCGACCACATGGACCCAGTGCCAGAATGGCAATCGAAAAAAGGGGTGGCGAGGGAATATCCGAACTAGTTGATCGTCGAACCGACTTTCCTCGGGTTAGCGCAGAATATGGCATATGGAAGACCATTCAGAATTCTAGCCCGTCGTCTTTCAACCAGGATCCGTCAACAAGCATCCTGCAAGTGACATGGGACGACAGTCAGAGTCAGAACGTCTTCTGCCATCCTCAAGCCTCCCCCGCCGCCAAGGTACAAAGCCGATACCTGTCGAAGCCTCCTTCAAGGCACCTTCTGACAAGTCACTATGGCCCTGAGCCTGGAGTTTTTTTGTTACTCTCCACGCCAATGCCGCTGCCCACGCCTACTTTGTCGCAGACTCGCAGATAGTCCACTCAATGCGGGCCTTAAAAGTCGGTGTAGAACCGAGCCGCTAGAAGCTTGCGACAGCCCATGCTTGCCGCCCAACAATTCAGTTTTCCTGACTGCTATTTTCGCGATTTTCAAGCCAGGACGGGCCATTCCATGCCTCTCAGGAAACCATCTAGCCGCATTATGACGAAGCACTGGAGCCTCTACCCCGACCATGGATCTTCGCAAACCACCCGGCGGCTGGAAGGTGGGAAGATGCAAGTCACTTCGAGACCCTCGCCAGCCCACCTGGCACCAGCAACGGTCCAAGATGCGGCGCCAATATGACAAGGCCTGCCACTTAGGTGCTGCGTCGCCGTGCCCGAATCGCGGGGCACATCACGCATGTTTCTGAATTGTGTGTTCTCGTCCAAAGCGTGCTGAGAATGAGGCTGGAAGCTCCAAGTCCTCCGTACTCCGTACACCTGGCCCTTCTCCTCGTTCGTCTCCCTGCAGGGACAGATGGCCTCGACAACCATACCCAAGCCGCAGCTCTAAAAGGCACGCACATGTTGGCTCTTTTTAGGCGAATCGACATGCGTCCTGTATGAAGCTGCAAAGCATTACTCCCTTGTGTGTTCGGAATCTCGAGCGTTGAGAATGCATAGTCTTCTCCCCACATGGAGGTTTTCTTAGTCTTGCTGTGTGAATACAGACTGACAAGCCACGGTTTCGCGCGCCGCCTAGCCAGGCCAGTTTTAGCCAGAGACCCTCAGTTCGGGAAGACCCTGTCTCCCCGCCAGCGGCTTACGAAGAAAAAAAAAAAGAAGAAAAATGTTGTGGAGCTCTTCGGAGCGGCAGAAAAGAAGGTAAGGATGGACCTGATACTCAGAACCGAGTAATCTTCGGGAGCCCCGTTCAGCGGTTCACCGACCAAGGGTTGCGGTCCATTCGTCAACTGGTGCTCTATATTCGCATTCACACGTTGAAAATCGCCACGGATATCATCAATTTACAAGAAAAACCAACGCCGCAGGATGGACCAATAAGGGCAAAGACCAGCACTTGTCTCAGGATAAATCTCACCGCAACAAACTCATGAGTTTGGATAGAAACCTTGCACTGGAGCCGGCTCATTTGATCCTTCGGAACCTAGAGAGGGTTTCTGATACTGACCAGAATAAGCCTCTGCACTTCTGACGACGTATGTAGACTCTTGGGTGTCAACGGCCAACGGAGCCTCCCTTTGACGAGCGATTTGACGTTTGGACCAGGCACAAAACGGCAGGCCTCGAATACCTTGGATGGCTAAATAAGAGCCGATGCTCTACGTACCCCATGTGCACATCCTATCCTGTTCGTTGGCGAACAGCCCTTGTCTGTCCACTCGGTTCAGTCGATCTTCGACGGCCATGGCACAGACGTGCGATCAGTCCTTTTTTACCTCGACGCAACTCCTCATTCCCAGAACCTGTTGCGAGCAGCAACGTGTACTGTCAATGAAGCTCGCGGACAGCGCAACGTTGTGACAGCTGGCATGAGTATCTAGATCTTTTGGCCGCACTCGTTCGATCTGGGGAAAGCACGTCGGTGTCACACAGGGCTATCCAAGTCCCGAAGAGCGATGCAACGCAGGTAGTGCGCGGCACAGACGGTATGCTAGGCTCGCAGACAGAAACAAAGCTACATATTTGACAGCCCACAGCACAGGCTGCCGCTTCACCGCTCAACGAAGCATGCAGGTCCTTGGTTCGGAGCTTGCTTCGCAGCAAGAGCGAGAGCAAATCATGTACAAGGTGTTTCCCAAAGCCCCAAGCCCTACTTGGCAGATTGGCAATTCGACAAAAGTCAAGCACAGAAACGATACAAGGCGGTGACAGTCAAACCCAAGATGGGGCATCAACTCAGCGTGAGAACTTGCCGCCACAGACCTGGCAGTCTCTGCAAACTGGGTAATAGGGGATCTCGGGCCTCCTGTCAGACCGAGATAGAGTTTCCGATGCACTGGCAACAGCCATTTCTGTCGTCAACGCTCGCACAACCTTGACAAGCTTGGGTGGTGGGCCATCCGCACCGTGCTACACTCGCAAGAGACAGCCCCTGACAGGAAAGCGGAACAAGATGGTCAACTGGGACTAGTACGGACGACCTCCGACCTGCTAGACTCGGCGGTTTCTATTGCTGTTAGTGCACCAGCCCCTCAGCAGGAGAGGAGGGGAAAAGACGAGGGGGTAAAGAGACAGAGAGACACACAGTGAGGGGGGCGGAAGGGCGTGCAATTGGGCAATGGGCCTGGAATGCTCGCTCCGTGCATGTCACGAGAGAAAAGGACAGGAGGAGAGAGAATGAAGCCAGACACGGCCGAACAAGTCAAGAGATATCGACAGACGAGTCGGTGTATTGCAGCCATCGACCACTACCGATTCAACGGCAATGTCCACCGTTCTATCGTTGTACCACCGCTGCCAATACTGGCTTGATGGTAACCTCTTGAGAGTCATAGAACGCCAATGGCTGACACAGCCAGACTGGAGTTGTTGTAGTACCTAAGAGGTATCCCGCGAATATAGAGTGCAACCACATCTGCGGGCTTGCCCTCCAGTCTTGCCGCTGCTCCTGGGCGCGGGAGGGTTTTGAACAGGGTTCGCAAGACCGCCCCTCGCCTCCCACTGGCTGTTTTGCCCTTTTGGGAACTTCATGGGAAGAGGAATTGCGAAAGCCCAAGATGCGCTGCGTCAGACTCGAGAGCCACCACCACCACCATCCACCACCCACACCCACACACACGCCAGCACACCCGTCGAGCATCAACCACATGCACACGCACCGCGGCTACCCTAGCTGCCTACCTACTTTATGTACAGTGCAAGCTTGACGCTGTCCAGACTTTGTACCTGCTCTGAGTACCCGCAACTCTCCTCCCGACCTGGCCAGGTACGGCGCGCGAAGGACTGGACGCTACCTTGACAAGGACAGGGCAAGGTGTGGTAACGCAATACGGCGCAGGGTACTTTGTCTCCCCTTGGCCTCCAGCCAGTCTCTGAGCGGGAGAGAGAGGAACGAGGGGCTTTCTCGTCACTTGAGAGTGTCCGTATGGTAGTTACGGATAGTCAGTAATTACCTACGGTACGGAGGAAGTCCTTCGCATCTCAGTCCCTACGGATATCCTTCGCGGACTGAGCAGGGGTTCTTTCGGTACCAAAGCAAACCACCCCTCCGACTTGCAAAGCCGCCCTGGCCTGGCACCTGGTTAGCGAGTGAGATGTGGTGGTTCCTGTCTGTGGTTCCTCTCTCGATGTGGCCCCCGTCAAACTGGGCACCCCCGTCGTTGGCGCAGGGGTATCTTGGGCCGCCGGCTGGCCTGCCACGCCCTCTCAACCGTGCTTGTCTCCCACACCTGAAAATCGCTACATTACCTTCTTATGCTCCGAGCCTGCTCTTTTCGTTTCTCCCCACGTTGGTCGTCGGTTTCCTACCCAGTTCTCTTTCTGTACACCATCTCGTGTGTCCGTGTATTCCAAAACCCTCTTCAACCTGTCGCTCCTGGCTCTCCAGGGCGCGGCGTGTGAATTTTATCTGAGTGTATACTCTGTACTGCACCGGGGAAGAATACCACGGGAGAAAAAAAAAACCAGGTACGTTCCAGTTCTTTTGTTCTCTTTGTGCTTGGCTGGTCGCCGTATCACACCCGCATCTATGTGTGGTAGAGCTCGTCGATTGTGGGAACAACTGCGCCGTGGCGGCAAGAAACACATTGCACACAACGCAAACACGAGGAGAGAGAGAACCAGAGAGGAAACAACACTTGCGGCTGCCCTTTGTGCAGTTATGCCACCAAATCAGCGAGTCAACTCAGTCGGACATCGTAATGCGCTCCCAGAGGCTTCTCGACATCCCAAAGCACAACATCGCAAAGCTGGATGCTAGGCCCGAACGGAAAGGGGAACAAGAGGTAGGGACGCTCGGCAGAAGCTGGAGAGGCAACGACAACGGCAGTGACGGTTTCGGACCGCGATCCAGAGGCCCAAGAAGAGACGGGAGTTGCAAGGCGAGACATTCGAGTCTCACTCAGGCTGCCCAGCTTCAGCTGCTGCCATGCGTCCACTGCCATCATTCTCCTTGTCTCTTCAGCGCTTCACCGACCGCCGCCCGCATTTGGAGAAGGCCAGGACCAAGACCAGGACCAAGAGGGAACCCCCGGACCAGCACCACCAAACTTCGCCAGTTCCGCACCCCGCCTCCAATTTCCCTTGTTTCCAGAATCACGAAACTCTCGCTCTGTTCTGTTGTTTCTTGCCGCCATGGGCGTCACACGGAACCTCATTTACCACATTCTTTGATGCTGCCGCCGCTGCCTTTTCGCCGCAACAAAACCCTCTACATGTTCATTTTGCTGACCGCCGGCCTTGCTTGATGCCAGCAGTATATAGAAACCGCAGCCACTAGGCCACTTTGCGCCGTGTACGAATTGTTGGAATAAGCCGAACCATGGACGAGCTGCGCTTCCGATCTCAACAGTCGCCCCGTAACGAGTCCACGATGAACACACTTGTCTCACCTCCGCGGAACGTCCGCCTCCCGCAGCCTGTTCAGGCCCACGATGGGCGAGGTGCCCTGCCTCGCCGCTTCACCACGGATTCGGGGCGTGTACCAACATTGTCTTCAATCACCGGTCAGCGCGGCCCTGACCTTGGTGGCCCTGATTATAACAACGTACGTCTCTTATCCACGAGTGGAATGCTATCCCGTTGCGTTCCACGCGCAATTCTTCATTCGCCATCGTGCGCTGTGCTCCGTAAGAATGCGACTGACATTGTCTTGTCCAGACTTTCCACAAAGTTCAATTGGTATGTGGGCTTCCGCCATTTCGCTGTAGAATCTCGTTAGCGACAGGGACCATCACCACAAGCAGACACTGCAAGGTTGATACACACAGTAAAGGAGGAAAGGTTATTAACTGCGTGGTCTAGATTGAGAAGAAGAAGATCGAATATGAGAGACTGCGCGAGCAGAGACGTCGCTTCGAGATGGAGATGCAGAAGCTGGAGCAGGCCCAGCGTCGCGAGGAGATGGAGCTTGCAAAGATGCAAGACGACCTCCGCCAGGGTCACCAGTCGGAGCCTACGACGCCGCCCGAATACCACGAATCGTCCGGCTTCCCCACGATGTTCTCGCGTCCCAACCGCTACTCGACTTCGAGCTTGACCTCGCCTCCCGGTCTCTTCAACCGTCCCGGCCGCTCGGGCTCGCAGCTCACTTCGCCGCACTCCACGGTGATGCAGTCCCGCTTCACCTTTGACGACCATTTGCCATCCCGATCCGTGCCGGGATCTCGCAGAAACAGCGACGAGGACGAAAAGGAGGAGGCAGTTCGCCAAGATCCGACTAGTCATCGATCTTCCAACGCGTAAGTGCAGTAATCCGTATAGTGTGACCAGTATGTTTGCTTCTTGGACAAGTCTCTGGATGAGTATCACGGCATAAGGTAGCGAATGCCGGTAAAGCTGTTTTGTCGACGTTTGGCAAGGTCTGGTACTGTTGGAAAGAAACGAACGGCGGCAATGGGGCCCCACAAGTTGGTTTTCAAGGACCGCTCTTGCCTTGGATGGGAAGAGTTCTTTCCTTGAGATGGGCGAGAGCTCCTTCCCTCGATCCCATCCCTCTGGATCTTCTAAATCCTCACCCCACTCGTCGATAAAACAGCGATCTCGAGCAGCCAGCCGCCTCAACTTCGACCATTCCACACCCACACCACCACGCACTTTACGCACCACACCCTCACAGTCTCACACATCTATCGACCAAACAACAATAACTTATCCTTTCAAGTTACACCATAAAACATTGCGCACCTGGTCTTGCGTCTTCACACCACGCTTTAACGACGTTCAAATCCTTTGTTCCAATCTCACAAATCGTACCTGCCTCTCGAACGCTTCTGACAAAAGAACGCTCGTGCTGGTTTTCGAAAGCTCCGTTCAAATCGACCGCCGAGGAATCTTGCAAGGCCTTCCCGTTTTCTTCCATTTTCCTTCGTTTTGTTTCTTCTCGAACCAGAACAACCGACAGCCCAAGACTTGCCCAAGAAGAGGAACATACTTACCGCACAGCAAGCAAACCTCTATCAATTTGAGCAATGGCTGACACTAGAATTCCCAACGATAGCTACAACCGCTACTCGATGCCGGTCACGCGCTCTCGCACTGGTCTCTACGGCGCCGACCTCGACCAGACTGGCACTGCTCGCTTCCTCTTTGGCGAGGAGGACGCTTCTGGCGAGAACAAGTACGGCCAGGCCAACGGCGACGACAACTTTCCTACTCTGGTTCGCCAGAACGATCAAATGGTATGTCTGCGCATTTTGTTTCCTCACATTCATACCATCTCTCCCTTTCTCTCTCTATTCACTTTGTCATGAACTATCTTACCCTATTACCCTATTCAATGCATGAGCAAGCTGGTGCCTATGGTTCTTCTGCCTGCTCAGCAAGAAGAAGAAGGCCCACATGTTTATTTTGCCCATGGGTGGTGAAGTGCCACGTTCCGAACCTCGCGGCCGGGAAGGTGCGAGCCGCAAGCAACCGCACCTACTGCAGCTGCAGCTTGCTTCAACTTCACCTCCTGTCCGTCAGATTCACCCCGCACACCTTGGTCAGAATTTCCACTCCGCCCTTTTTTTGCCCTCTTCTTTTTTGTCTTCTTTCCTGATTCCACCCCTGGATGCGAGTGAAAAAAAAAGAGGAGGAGCAGAATACCCCCATATCCGTCCCCCTTCCTTTTCTGTCCGTTTACCGCTTGCTCCTTCCTCCCGCCAAGGTCAGAGTTTTGCAGGGAAAATACTGTCGACACAAACCTTCGAACTTGTCAGCCTCCGATCAACTGTTGACAATTGTTTGCGTCGTATAGCTCTCTGCATCATCCGCTGCCCTTGACCTTGCCCTGTCTCCCTCGCCCGCTCCTGACGCGCCGTCCTCCCATGGTTGGGGCAATATTAACCGTCACCGAACCCAACAGAGCTTGTCTGCTATCAACACCTCTTCGCTCAACGGAGCTTCATCTTCTGGAGAAATCGGCAAGCGTTCCTCAGTCCGCCACTCGCTCGACTTGAAGTTCTTCCCGGACGCTCCCCCCGACAACCAGGCTTCCATCGTCTCTCCTCCCGGCAACCACCCCGGTAACCACATCATGGCTACTCCTCCCAAGTTGCAGAGCTCCTTCTCTGCCAACGATGTGCCTACCGTCAAGAGCACTACCAACGGCGGCCCTGTCACCAACAACCACGCCCAGCAGCATTTCCACAACCACAATGCCAGCATCGGTCGCATTCCCGCTGGCGCTGTCCCCGGCCGCCATAGCCGTGAGCTGTCCAACGACAACAACATGGGCGGCCCTCGCGAGCAGGCTGGTTCTTATCCTTCCATCCAGTCGGCTCTTCAGGCCAATGCCGCTCCTTTCGGTCCTAATGCTCCGGGTCAAGGCTTTCCTCACACCTCTCAGGGCAACCAGACTCCCAACGGTACCGCCACTGCTGGCCCGAACAACGCCTACGGTGGATTCTACCCGAGCGGCTACGTCTCGCCCAATAACAACGGCGGTCCTCCCCCCGCATCTGGCCCTGGCCCCTACGGCGTCCCTCTCTTGGCCATGAGCATGCAGAACATGAACCTCAATGGCAACAACAACATGTACCCTGCTCAGAACTACGCTGGCTATGGCGCTCTGTACAACGCTCAGCCTCAGCCCCGTGATAGCCAGGCTCGTGTCATTCAACATCGCCGCCAGATGGACAACGAAGGTAAGCTACATGATCAGTCTCATAATATGTACACATTACTGATATCTGCCTAGCCATGTCGCGTTACAACGGTCTCGCTCTTGAGAACGTTGGCGGCCAGATCTATGACCTTTGTAAGGACCAGCACGGCTGCCGCTATCTGCAAAAGAAGCTCGAGGAGCGCAACCCGGAGCAGGTCCACATGATCTGGCTGGAGACCAACCAGCACGTCATTGAACTCATGACTGATCCTTTTGGCAACTATCTTTGCCAGAAGCTGCTGGAGTACTGTAACGACGATGAGCGCACTGTGCTCATTCAGAACGCCGCCGTCGACATGGTTCGCATCGCCCTCAACCAGCACGGCACCCGTGCTCTTCAGAAGATGATTGAGTTTGTTACTACTCCGACCCAGATTGAGATGATCATCAACGCTCTTCGCTTTCAGGTCGTTGAGCTCATTCAGGACCTCAACGGCAACCATGTCATCCAGAAGTGTCTCAACAAGCTCAGCGCTCAGGATGCGCAGTTCATCTTCGACGCTGTCGGCACCAACTGCGTTGATGTTGGCACTCACCGTCACGGTTGCTGCGTTCTCCAGCGCTGCATTGACCACGCGTCTGGAGAGCAGAAGGTCTGGCTGATTGCCAAGATCACCGAGCATGCTCCAATTCTTGTGCAGGATCCCTTCGGCAACTACGTTGTCCAGTACATCATCGACCTGAACGAGCCCTCCTTCACTGAGCCGATTGTGCGTATGTTCCAGAACCGCATCGGCCAGCTCTCCCGCCACAAGTTCAGCTCCAACGTCATCGAGAAGTGCCTTCGTTGCTCCCAGGAGCCTTCCCGCGAGATGATCGTCGACGAGCTCCTGAACCCCGGCGAGATCGAGAGACTGCTCCGCGACTCATATGCCAACTACGTCATCCAGACCGCCCTCGAGTATGCTCCTCCTGCCAGCAAGTATCGCTTGGTGGATGCCATCCGCCCCATCCTGCCTTCCATTCGGTCCACTCCCTATGGTCGTCGCATTCAGGCCAAGATCCAGGCCTTTGAGGGACGTGGCAGTGCTACCTCGAGCGGTCAGGTTACTCCCGCGGATCCCACTCAAGGCCAGATTCCCCTGCGTCCGGGCCACAACCGCGCCATGTCTAACAACACCTCCATCATCGCCCCTGGCGGTGCCTTTGGCAATGGTCTGAATGGTGGTCTCAACGGCGGTAGTATGGCTCCTCGTGGCAACCAAGCCAACTACCCCACGACCAACAACGTCACTGTTCCGCCCCCCGCTCCCCAGAACCAGCGCGTTCAGCAGTTTGGCTACAATGGCCAGCAGCGCACCAACGGTGGTGCCGCCGCTGACGCCGCTGCAGGCGAGTCTCAGTGGCTGTAATTGTATTCGACGCGTTGTCGACCATTTCAGCCCGTTGAGATTCGGTTCCAATGGTACGAAATGTTGCCCGGGCATTCGACAACGAACATAATGGTGGCATGATGCTTTCCGCGTAACGGTTTTCTTTCGACACAGCACGGCGGCTACGCAGCAATGACTTGACGATCTTTTTCCTTTTCCCTGTCTGTGCAAACACCACAAATCATCCTCCAACCAACATACAACAGCGCAATCCACCAAACCTCTT